CTTGTACATCGGCTGGCCACCGCAAGTCATTGTATAGGCCACATACGCACTCATTACGCCACTACGATTCTGAATGAAAGTCGAGTGCGGGGGCGCATCCCTCAGACGGGATTGATTAATGCCAAAAACTTTATCCTTTTATCCTTTATATGAGAACCCCGAGTGCCTTTTCTCACCAACTGGTGAAAGGAATGAGAATAGCACATATCCAAGAAGCAGTTGGAGATAGACGAGGTAGCAACGGGTGTATCAGATCAGGTAATGTCCGAATTAAAGTCACCACAGATAAGACAATCACAGCCGAACGAGACAATGTCGCTGATCGCTTTAATCAATTGTTCTGTTTGTCTGGTGGGGCAACTCGGAGCTCTGCAGATAACCACCATACGAAGAGGATTATCATTAGTAGTCAAACCACAGCACAGAATTTCGTATCCGTTCAGAACAGATTCAGCAAAAACCATATTAGAGCAGAAGGATTTACGAAGAAAAAGAGCCACACCACCCCTTTCTTGTTTTTGTATCACATCTAATGATTTCGTTTTGAGACGAGTGATCACCCAGAAGCGACAGAATATCCACTTCAGGCAAAAGCCAGGTTTCCACAAGGGCAACAAAGTCATAGCGGTGAAAATCAAGCAGCGAAAGGAAATCGTAGCTGTCCTTGGCCAATGATCGAATATTAGCGAATAAAAAAGTAACACTTCTATTAAAAGGCCGTCGAGTAATTCCTAGTTTGACATCACATCAGGATAACTAGGCTCAGGAATGTTGAGGGAGAGTCATTACGAACACCAGTATCGACATTATGTTTGTCATGATTGTTGAGAGTAGACTGAGTTAAGGAAGCATTAAAACCATTTTGTGAGTTTCCCCTTCGACACGAAGCCTTTCTCCCTCCAATTTGGAAAGGGAAGGACGTATATAGAGGCCAGAGACCCCAAAGTGCCTCAAACGGGAAGCGCGCTTCAGTACTTGTCTAGCAAAGGATGAGGCCGAAAGCAGAACCTTAAGTAGTCTAGGAAGTGACATGTTGTAACGACCTAGACGGTCGACAGCGAGAGAAAAACAATCAATCGATAAATATTGAAGGATATCTCTTACGCGTTGAACATCATGATAAACTCTTGCAGAAGATAAGGTAGAATTGCTTTCAGTAATACCAGTAATTATGATAGTACGTCTACGTTCTATCTCTTCATAGGAGATAGAAACATCAGAAGAAGACGCTTGACTAATCTGCTGAATAGTTCGGAACGAGGATCAATAGTATTTGAAGTGACAGTACCTATATCAGAAAGCTGCTTCCTCAAGTTGAAATTTTCCTGCCTTAATAATTTAACTTCTTCACTGAGCTCACGACAGAGTTGCATTACGGCTTGGGTTCGTTTTCTGTCTTCAATGAGATATGACAGCACCATCCGTAAATGAAATGACAGCGATTCGTCTTCTTGGAGAGCAGACATGTGTTTCATTAGATTAGGCATAGGCGTGGGCGAACATTCGGAACCGTACGATGTCGTTTTTGCGCACCCTTACGCTGGACCTGAACGAGAGAGGCGGCCAGAGGAGTATCCATTATGATTTACCTAGCAGAGAACTCGAAAGACCTTATAAAGTGGCTCAGATATCAATATTCAATAGCGCGATCGATTGCACCCAACGAAACCAAAACTTGAGAAAATGGACCTGCGTAGGTGGCAAGTACGTCGATTTTCAAACAAACCCTTCCACTGGTGTGCTCACTAATGCTGCTTGAGCAGGACAGAGCAAGGTAGAATGAATAACACACTGAATAACATGCAGCAGAAACAGTTAGGGCACCGGCTGCAAGGAGCGACAGCGCGCGACGCAGACACGGACCGAATTATGATCTTCCTACAGTTATCGTTTTTTCATTGTCAACATTCCACAGCATACCTCTATATTCTATTGTCATCATTCCTCAACATACCTTTATAACAGCCTGCCCCACGCTGGCAGACATCCCGCCTTTCTGCCTACTTCCATGATCAAGCAATCACTCACTCCATGAATAGGTGTGTTCTCATTCTTTGCCAGTGCCAACTTATAATCCCAATAAGAATTTATACTCAAACATGAAGTATGATTCAAACTGGTACAACAACTTTTTATTCGAAAGTTCCCTAGTAAACGAACATTAAAACACAATATCTTTTGGACACGTATTCAACGGTAGACTAGATGGACCTGTGCTGGAGCCGGGATTCAGATTAACAAGTGGAACAACTAAATATTTGAAGAAAAGAAAAGAAAGAAGCTACTCAAAAAGGAAACATGCTTCAAGAAGCACCATAATAATACTCCACAAATAAATGAGGGAAAACTGAAGCTCATGAAAGAACCTGTAACTCAAATTGTACACTCGCAAAACAAGTATTGCACATTTCTGACCGGTTGTAGGAGCCGATGGTGCAGGTTGCACTCATCCATACAAAAATATTCCGATCTTACACCAATGGCGAAAAAATCCTGCAGCTTTCTGGATGAATAAACATTTTCAAAGCCAAGAAAATCAGAAGGGGTGGCTATAGAATGCTTGCCGTTATTTGTCCTGAAATTGCAGCACTTCAAAGGAAGCATCTTACCTAACCCGCTGATATTGCTGCAGGACTTTCTCTCTACTTATCGTAACGTATTTTCAAAAATTAATGCAAATATAAAAGAACACACCAGTGGAATGACTAGACTGTCTGTCATGAACTTAAGCTAAATCGTATACACAGTACACGGTACATATAATTAGAGGTGCTAACAACTACAGATACCCTGATGAAATTACGTTGGAATGGCTTGCTTCACCCGATCGCTATTCGAACGGGAAATCACTATCAAATGAACTGACCAAATTGTCATTGAAGTTCGGTCAACTGTGGTACCTCCACAAGTCTTCCTACAAAAGAGTCTAGTACTCAAATAACTTGTGCTGCTGCCAACATCATAAATTTTCCGGAACGGTAAGGCTATTTCCAAATTTAGGTTGTTCTGCCCTCACGGTGGAACCATTTGCCACCGCAGAACCGCTATCTGTTCTACTGTTCTGAAAATATGAACATGTATGGAACGTTCAGTATGATACACGAAGCCATCTGAGGAAGTTCTCACCCTTCTACTGTTGATCATAGCCGACGATGTAAGTTTTCTTTCTGAGACTACTGCTCCTCGTGTGTAAATGTTTGCCAAGGCGTCTCGCAACTGTAACGGACAGTCTTTGCCTTAGAAAATATTCATGTTTCGCTGCATCAATTGGTAAAAGGCAGCAAAGCCCGTGAATGGAATTGCCCTTCTTACCTCCTTCAAACCGACGACGCCAACCAGTCGACCACAATCGGTAACGTATGCGTGCGAAAGACCCAGAAGACTGAATAAGGTGTGCACCTAAAAAAAATTAGAAGTTTCCGGATTTCGGATAGCTGATACCAGATTGACAGGCATCTTTTGGAGCAAAGCTCTCGACACATCATTCTGCAGCTACTATGCAAGCAAGATGTAAGACCGCTATATTTGTTCGTAGTGGCAGCAGGAATTGGTTGGCTTCTTAAATTTGGAAGAAATTCATCTGTTTTATTACTCAGTTCTACGTTTTTCCTTTATAAATTGTGCTAGTAGANGGTAGAAGCTCTACTAAGACATTTTTCCGAAACTTTGAATTCGATTCCTCAATTTCTGAAGTTTCTCTCCCAAGAAAAATTAGAATGAGGAAGGTAGAAAGTTTTTTACCTTCCTCGTTCTGATGGCAGTCTTTCTAACCAGAAAGAACTTTGCAAAAAAAAATATGGATTTAATTCCCAATCATGATCACAGGAATCTGATGCAGATTTCTGTTTGGGTTAACCTACCACCTTGTTAAACAGGCAGGTTTCTAATCGGCAGCATTAGGTTCGCAGTGGTATCATGATGGGTCAGAAAGAATTAATGCCAACACCTCATTCTTATACCCAGAATGATATTGAAAAAGGAATGAATGAAGAATATATTCGCAAACCTTATACAGTGATGATCCGAGTACCAGCTGAAATGGCGCTGCGTCGATGGCAACTTCATTTAAATCGATGGTCCGATCAAGAAGCGCTTCAGGATCCCGATCCTGGAAAACAATGCTCAGCACCTAGTCTGTACAATAATAATAGATACTGACCTTAAGCAGCTCAGTCGACGAAGGTCTCGTGAAGACAGCTTGCAATGGAACACCTGGAAAAGTACAGATCCGGTAAGAACACTTTCTGGGAGCAATAAGCAACGCTCAAGACTGATAATACTTGCTACTCACTATCAACATTTTTATGATGGGTTTCACGTGAAGTTTCTGTAAACAAACGCGAAATACGCAAGAAAGGCAATCGAGTACGCAGAACAATTAGGATTTCTCACCGAAAATTTAATGTAAGGAAGCATTACAAGAAGGTCGAGACGAACTCACTGTTGGGAGCGTGCAGGGGCGAGATTGATAGAAGCGTATTGCCGCTGTACGTGCGATCAGTCACTACTTCAAGAGGTTCTGTCTCACTTCGACTGGTGTCAGGTTCCCTTGCATCCTTTGACCGTCGTGAGGGTGACCTTTTGGAAAGCCTGAACGAGTGATTAATAACATCGCTTCAAGCTACAGCTACACTATACCCTACAGAAGCTCTTGAACCGTAATTATGTGTACGATAGGATCACATCACTAGGATACCCACTGGAACTTCATATACTCAATCTGCTTTCCCTCAGATTTCCCGCACCGATTGAGCATGGGATTGGAATGGAGGCTTAAATTCATAAGAAAAACGGAGCACCTATGCGACTATTGGAGGCACTCATTACTGGTATTACCTCATGCTAGTTCTGCGGATTGTATTGAAGATCTCAGCAGGAGTCATGCGGACACTGGCTCGGCTGTCTTGTTGTGTGATCAGCACGTGCCGTCGAAGGAGCATGGTCAGGTAGCGTTTCGCGACTGATCCCAGAAGAATTTTGTTTTCTAAAATAGTGGCACATAAATGGTTACGATCATGTGAAAACCCTAATCAAATTTCCTGATGCTCCTGTAGTCATCCAGGATAAACTATAAAATATAGAGCTTTTTGAACTATTTTCTCATCTATTTCAGAGCTAGCCGAAATCGCGAATCATAGAAACGTTATAGTTGCACTCATTGGAAAACCCAAAGCTTTCATTCTTATTCTGCAGCACCGGATGAGTATCTAACTTTGGAAAACGACTTGCTATGCTTGCTGCCCTAAAAAATAGAAGAAATTAAGAGAACTCTTAAGAAAAAGAGATGATATACAGCAGGTCGAATCAACGGCACACTTTCCATACATACATAGTCACTGGTTTCTGAAGGGAGGGACGACTACGCCTTTTCAAAAGCCTTAAAAATCTTAATCTTCGAGAGGACCTGAATGCTGTGCTGTGATGTGAAACAGTGAGACGGGGGGTGGGTCGGGGGGAGGGGGGGAGCGTGAACCTTACCTTCCATCCACCTCCACCTCTAAGGACTTGCAAGATGAACCAGAGACTCGTGAGGAATCAGTGGACGACTCTTTGATTCT